CTCTCTCTCCTCTCTCACTCTCTCTTTAAAAAAAAAAAAAAAAAAAAGTAACTAAGACTTATCAAAATATTCTATTCAAAAAAGTAGTACCCCAAATGCCCAAAAGTCTGTTTCGTAATTAAATCAAATGAAATACAAAGCAATTGTTCAAATGCTGGTACAGATTTGAACAGATAAGTCTGATTTTTATGTGAGACCCAAAGTCCTTTTGTTCAATTAAACCTGAAGGAAGACAAAAAGATGATAATCTCAATACATTTAAACACTAAATGCTATGATACACAGATTTCAAGATAGCCTCCAAAGATCCTCCTTTCTTGGATATTCACACCCTCGTGTAACTACGGAATAAACCAATGAGTTTCAAGTGTGGAAGGGAAAATGAGTCCAAAGTCTAAAACAAACAAAAAAGAAAAATACAAAATAACTGAAACCCTATTTCACATTCTATTTAAAACAAGAGGTATGCATAAAATATAAAAAACTTATCATTTTTTCAAAGAATTTTCTATAGCAAAAAATGTTGAGCATACACATGTTGGATTACATTAATTACCATATATTTAAAAATTTTTAGCCTTGCCAAAGTGTAGTCCAAGGATTATGAATTTCAAAATCATGGGGCTTTTAAGAAATGCAGATTGTGAGGCTTCAAAACGACCCCCTTAATGAGAACTTGCATTTTAACACATCCTTGAGTGATTTTCATGTATACTGTAGTTTAAGAAGTACTATGCTACAAACATTTAAACAAATGAATGACTAGACATCACCCCCTCTCCCACCCAAAGGAAGGGGTGGGAGAACACACAGACTAAAAAATCTTAAAAATACAATGAAGATGCTTCCATAAACAGACATTACAATCATAATTGTTGACTTAGCAAAAGTTAGGGGTAAGACAAATACAGTCTCAAATCACATTGAGTATTTAGCTATCATCACTAGCAAAATCCAGACAAATCTAATCTGAAACAACTCAGAAAAAGTTAAGAATAGGACACAAAGAATAACCAAAAGAAGGAACAGTAAGTTCTGGTACTGTACACTTAGAATATTTCATCAAATAAAAACCTCTCTCATTTTTTATTTTCAAAAAGAAGATACAGAACATAATAGTTATGCTTTTTTCTAAAGAGTAAAAAGTGCCCAAATATGACAACTTTTAAAGTAAAAATATCAGAGATTTGAGATAGTTAGACTTGAAATAAATACACAAGATATCAGAGTAACTATCATATGCTATGCAAATTCTGTTTGACTTTTCCATATTTTATACATTTGTGAAAATGACTTGAGAAATGTTATGTTAAATAAGAACACTGGTTTTAAAACAGTTAATATAAAGCTTTTTTAGCTACTTTGCATGATTTAGACTTTCCAAGTTCTAAATATGTGGCTATGTTTTACTTATTTTCCCCACAAGCATTTTTTTTTTCTGTAAGAAAAACTGTTAACCCTGAAGGCTTTAATTACATTTCCCTAAATTTTCTTTCCATGATAAAGGGTAGTCTGTAATTTGATAATTATTTTTTTAATACCTTTATTTTATTTTTTTTTTAATTTTATGTAGTGCCAAGGATCGAACCCAGTGTCTCACACATGGCAGGCAAGCGCTCCACCAGTGGGCCACAACCTTAGCTGTCATTTGATATTCTATCCTCTCTTTTTATAGCTTTAAGGTTAATCATTAGTGTAAATCTTTCTGAAAACTTTAAGCACATCTCCAAAAAAGGATTAAAAAAAAATCAAATTTTTACACTAAAACAAAGCCTAAGAAAATGTCCTGAAAGTCAATGTTTTTAAGTATTTAAATATTTCATTAGCATGAAAGGTTTTTCTAAAGAAAAGTCAACAACAGTACACAAAATATTATGTAAAACACAAAATAATATACCTCTCTTTTATTTCTTCTTGCAACCTTGAGGAATTCCATAAGAATCTGTAGCTGAGCTGCATGTGATTCCTACAACAAAAAATTGTAATTGTTCTTTTAAAAATATCACTTTGAATTCAGAGTTATCACTAACACCACAGTATAGCCAACATTAAGCAACTTTACACACTCATTTCAATTAGTCTACTGCTTCTAGCTAAACGGTTTTCCCACTTCTTGGCTGACATTTCAAAAAGCAAGCAATTTTCTATGAAAATAACTGATGTTAATTTTAAGAAACATGTGTTCTACACGTTGACGAATATATTTCTGGGCAATGGCTTCTCTTCCACAGTCAAATATCAAGACAAAACTCATAGAGGAACTAACAATTTCTTGACATAAAAATCAATCTTCCCATAAAAATTTCCTTTTGCATAATACAAAGAAATTCATGGTTTTCAAAAGCCAAATTTACCAATATCTACTCAGTGGGCGTGAGAATTAATATATTTTTGTAGAACATGTTAGCCAAAACCAAACATTTGGAAACATGGTTTCTATCATAAATGGTGGGTGTGTACGAACACAAAAATGCACACCTACCATTTACATAGAAACCATATTACTCCTAATTAGTAACTGAAAGATGAAACTGAGAAGTGATAATTGTAAGCCTTGACATTTACTATATATCAAAACATAAAAAATAAATATTCATATTTTCCATTAAAATTCACCAAATAACCAAGGAATTCCAAGTGAATCTGATAAATATATGTAAAAAGAATATCAAAAGCTAAAAAGAGAGTAATCATAAAGACAGTTCATAAACAAATATAATTTTAAAACATTTTTGTTGGAAAGCTAGAATAAAAAAGTCTAGTGGAGTAATATCAAAACAAAAATAAATATGAAAGACTAATAAAACTTCCATTTATCTGATCATGAAACAGAATTATCTGGGGCATTTGTTAAAATAGAGTCAGGGTCAGATTTTAGAAATTCTGATTATCTGGCTCTAGAAAAGATGCCAGGAATCTGTTTAATAAGGGTCCAGATGATAAAAATAAGCCCATTAAAATCTGAAGAATCACTAATATGTAATACATACTTAAAAAAGAAAAAAAAAACACAAGCACTTCACACTCATTCCCCAAATTTATCTATTCTTCTGGGGAGAGGGTGGGGATCTTTGCACTTAAAAGCATAAGCAATGAAACAGACATATGAAAATTTTAAGTTGAGGCAAACAAGGAGAGATAAAAACAAAAACTTATAATCACAATAGAATATTAAAATTAGAAAAACACAACTGAATTAATGTTTTACAATTAAATAATTTTTTAAAACATGGTAACATGAAGATGATCTTTTTATATTTATTATGAATGAATAATTTGGTCCTTATGCTTTTATTTACAGAGTACATCCTCCCAAGCACTGGGAACTCTACAGTACCATCTCAACAGAACATCTAGCATGTTTAGGGAAGAAATGTTTCTACTTGCATAAGACTTTCCAACTAGAATAATACAGGAGTGTTATTTTTGCAAAGTAGAATTACTATAGATAATGATAATACACTACACATTATTCAAAAAAGTAAAAAACAAAAACAAAGAATTTTAATGTTTTTGTCACAAAGAAATAAGTCTATTAGAAAATAGAGTTATTTACTCTGTGATCTGAACATTACACAAGGTATGCACATATCAAAACACATGGAACCCCATAAATATGTACAATTTTCATGTTGAGTTTAAAAATAAATAGAAATATAAAAGTAAAATACAAAACTGAAAAGGTTTTATCTAGGCAGCTGATACAGAATGATAAAAAACTAGGGAATGCTAATTTTTGCTATAAAACTTATTTATTAATAACATTTGACATTGTAAATTAGAAGTGTTTATGACTTATTTTAAGAGTAAGGGAAGCAAGTGGAAGTAATAAGCCAAGGGGAGAGAAAGAAAAAGAAAAAAGAATGCTCCAGATGTGATAAGTCAAGGGTTCTGGGATTTCAACCGGAATACTACCTAATTTTAAGAGTGGGTTCCCTGCTGCTTGACTTCAGATTCCCTATCAATAAAAATGAACAGGTAACCTTTCTCAAACTAAGTCATTTTGTCATATCTTATTTATGACAAAACAATTATTCAATTTTTCTTTATATCAACAAATTATTTTCCTTAAATCTAATTCAAAACAAAAAATTTAAAGAATATTCCAGTTGCAAAGTCAACAGCAGGCTACACATTGGGTTACAGATCCATAGTATATATGGTACAGAAGGTTTCAGGAAATTCATTCACAAATATTCAACCTTCCATATTTCTCTTTCATACAAATGATCTGCTTACCAGGCAAAACTCTACTTCTCTTAATAGTTCTCACTTGCTCTTTACATGATAGGAGGAAAAAAAGGCTTTTACTTAACCAGAAGTTTACCTTGCTGAATGGTCCTGGGGCATAAAAGCCTCTGGTACATTAAGACAATTTTAAAACATTGCTGTTTGGTAAAGTGAACAGCTCTAAATAAAGACTAGGTACTGAATCTTCTTACAAGTGAAGGGTTTCCCGATTCTATGTGTTCAGTACAGTGGAGGATATAAAACTAAAAGATCTAATAATGGAAGGAAAACTGAAAAATCCATAATCACATTAGTAAACTAATATAATTTTCTCTGTACTAGACAGGGTTTTTTATTATAAACTGATTTTAAAAGAAATTTTTTTAAGTAGAAAGAAGATATGAAAACCTGATTAAAAATTAAATATAAAGAACATAAATATATCTGTTATGGTTTGGATGTGAGGTGTCCCCAAAAAGCTCAAGTGTGAGACAATGCAGGGTTTAGAGGAGAAATGATTGCATTAGGAGAGCCTTAAGCAGTGAATTAATCCCCTGATGGGGGGGTTAACTGAGTGGTAACTGAAGGCAGGGAGGGAGTGGCTAAAGGAGCAGTCATTGGGGATGTGCCTTTGGGTATATATATATATCTGGTAAATGGAGTCTCTCTCTCCTTACTCTTCTATCACAATGCCATACTCTTCTATCACAATGTTTTGCCTCACCTTGAGCCCTGAGGAAAGTAGCCAGCCATCTATGGACTGAGACCTCTGAAATGATGAGCCCCCAAATAAATTTTTTCCTCCTCTAAAATTGTTTTTGTTAGGTCTTTTAGTCACAGGAGTGAAAAAGTTGACTAAAATAAAACTCAAAACAATTTAAGAATACATGTGCTTCAAAGCATGAGAAGAATATTTGTTCACAGAATGAAAACTAAAATTTGGAAGAACTACTATCACAGATAACACTTTCATAATACAAAACTCATGTTAAAATAGGAACAGGGCTGGGGTTGTAGTTCAGTGGTACAGAGCTTGCCTGACATGTATGAGCCACTGGGTTCAATCCTCAGCACCACATAAAAATAAAATAAACAAAAAAATAGATATTAAAAAAATAGGAACAGATCTATTTCAGATTAAAAGATAAAAGTTGCTCCTACAGTTATAACAAAAAGTATATGAACTCAAAAAATATATTATTATTAGATGCCATTAAAATGAAAGTAATTCAAGCAGCAACTGAGCCCCAACTTAGGTATAAGTCCTGATTTAGACGCTCTCCCCAAAATATCAGTCTCTCATCATTTCTCCCTGATAAAGAAAAATAAGAGTGTTCAGGAAAAATATATGTTAACTTCTTTAGTCTCTATACCACTCATAAATGTAGAACTTATAGGACAGAATTTTTAAAAAATTACAAGACATGAAAAGTAGTAGAAAAATCAAAGGATAAAAAGGTTACAGAAGTAAATTCAGATAACCCAGATGCTAAATAATCAACAAAGAACATTAAAATATTCCTATAAGTTGGTAAAAAGTTGAGAGGGAAAGTGGACAAAATAAGCAAAGGATACAGAATTATAGAAAAGAAATGAAAGAAATGTAACTATTAGAAATGAAAAAATGAGGGCTGGGGATGTGGCTCAAGCGGTAGCGCGCTCGCCTGGCATGCTTGCGGCCTGGGTTCAATCCTCAGCACCACATACAAAGATGTTGTGTCTGCCGAAAACTAAAAAATGAATATTAAAAATTCTGTCTCTCTCTCTCTCCCCCCCCTCTCAAAAAAAAAAAAAGAAATGAAAAAATGAAACGAAAAATGTCTGATTTTTAAGGAAAAAACACTAAGACTGGGGGTGTGGCCCAGTAGTAAAGTACTTGCAGGGTCTCTCCCTGGGTTCCAGAAAGAAGGGCAGAGGTAGGAGGGAAAAGACACCGAAAATACTGCATGAGATTAGAAGCAGACTAGACACAATAAAGGAAAGGAATAAAGAATTCAAAGTTCAATATGTATCATTTAATCTGATACACAGAATAAATATAAATGTACATATAATTAATTTATTTTGTTGTATATTTATTTATTTTATACTTTCTATAAGTAAAAACATAAGAACAGAGCATCAGGAATATGTGATTAATGAAATTTTATAATAATATATTACTAAAAATCAAGAGAAAAAAGTGCTGAACAAAATGGTTGACAATATTCAAACAGTAGATATTTCTATTCCATGATACACAACCAGAATAACATAAAGAAAATGAAACCTAGGAATATCATAGTCACACAGCTGAAAACCAATGTCAAAAAGAGAATCTTAAAAGCAGCAATAAAGAAAAGGGGTGTATTATCTTTAGTAAAACAGTAAAAATGATTGCTGATTTCATCAAAAACAAAGGAAGCAAAAAAAAATGAAGGTATTGTTAAAGTGCTATATATAGCAAAACAAGCAACTATACAATAAAGAGTAAAGAAAGTTACACAGATAAAGGAAAAATGAGCCAGACGAAAGCCCAGATCTAAGGGGGGGGAAAAAAAAGAAAGAATACATCAAAGTTTTTTTAATCACATTTTCAAAATACTCTTTAAGGCTAAAATAACAATATTTATCAGAATTTATAACATAGTTTTAACCTCAAAAAGCAGTTTGGCAATAAATTATTTTAAAGTTTTATGTTTTCCTTTAAAGTGGCATAATAACGATTCAAGGTTGACTATAAATATTGTCCTTGAAGTGATATTATAAACTCGAGATTGTGAAAAGAAAAAGACATGTATAATCTTTACAGGAACCATTAAAAATACAATAAAACTATGCAAAACATGGAAAAGATAGAATGGCATACTAAAAGACAAAACTAAAATCTCAATGATTTCTATAAAAGGCAAAATATGAAAAACAGAATAGAGAATAGACGGAAGGAATGGAAAATAAACACCATGCAGTAGACTCAAACTCAACCATATCGATAATTATATTAGAGGCTGGGGGTGTAGCTCAGTTGTAGAATACTTATCTAATATATGCAAGTCCTGGGTTCCCTCCCCAGCACCATACACACACACACACACACACACACACACACACACACACACACACACTTTAAATGAATATAAATTGCATTTGCACTAAATGAGCTTATTGTGTTTAAAAAAGAACAGAAATAAACCATATATACTATTAAGACTCACACTTTAAAAGGACAATGACAGAATGAAAGTGAAGGATAAAAAATATAACAATTATAAGTAAGGTGCTATTGTTCTATCAATATCAGACAAAGTAGACATCACAATTAGGATCATTTCTAGCAATAAAATTATACATTTCATAATAAATAAAGCAAATAATTTATCAGGAGACATAAGAATCCTAAATTATATAACCTAATAACAGAGCTTCAGAATACATGAAACAAACAAAAAAATACATAATTAAAAAGTAGATAATCAAAATAAAGCATACCTCTATCAATAGTTGATAAAATAAGAGAAAAAGATTTGAATAACATTTACCAATTCTAACTATTTATAATACCACTCCAAGGACAATATTTTCAAATGCAAGTGTCACATTTGAACAAAAGAGGCCATATCCTAAAAATCACAATCAATTTTAAAGAACTAAAAGCAAATAAATGAGCTCCCACTCTTGGCTAAAATGGTAGAAGAGGAACTAAGATTTACATTCCTACCATTATCAAATCATCAGTTCAACTATATGAAACAACAACTCTCAAAGGACCAGAAATATCATAGGCTCCCAGCAGTCTGAATGAAAGAAAATCTAGAAACACGACAGAAATCAGAAAGAACACCCAAAAAGGTTTCTTAGCAGTCGGGCAAAATTAGTTTAGACGAAAGAACTACTCTGGTCCCACTTAAAAACAAGTTTCAAGAGATGAAAATTATTTCCAAATAACCTAACTGTATGTCAGAACACAGCTCAAAAATATCCAGTATAGAACGAGATGAAATTAATTATTCCTGGCATCCAATAATTAAATTAATATACATGCAAAGAGACAGGTAAATGTATCTCAAAATATGAAGACAGAAACTTCAAACTAAGCAGATATTGATACAGACAAGAGAAGACAAAGATTAAAGCATCATTTTAAGTAAGCATGTTCAATAAGTTAGATAAAACAATAAGCTTGTTAAGGAGAGAGAGATCAAAAAGATTACTGAATTTGAAAATAACAAGAGAAACTATCCAAAATGAACTATACAGATGAAAAATATATAACAAAATAAACAGAATTGTTCATTAATGTCTGTGAAACAGCTTCAAACTAATAAACAAGTTTCCAACTGGAAGAGAAGAAAAATATTTGAATATTGGTTGAAATATCTCTAAATCTGAAGGAAACTATAAACGTATATATTCAAGAAGTTCAAAGAATCCCAATAACTAGAAACACGATGGGGGTCCCCTATATCAAGGTGCAGCATAATCAAACACTTAAAGCCATAAAAAGAATAAACTGGGAGAAACAGGTGTCCTTCAGAAGACCATAGATAAGAATAAAAGTAGCCTGCTCATCTGAAACAATGCAAGGCAGAAGACATTGAAGTAACATCTTTTGAAAAGTCAACCTAGAATTCTACATTTATACAGAAGCACCTTTCAAACACAATGGTCAAAGACTTAAATATATTTAAGTATTAATTCACCACCAGAGGACTTGCACTAAAGAAATAATAAAGGATTTCCTTCAAGCAGAAGAAAAATGATAACAGATGCAAATGTGACATATCTTTAATATATTAAGTACCTGATGTCCAAATACAGGATCTCTCCCTACAACATAAATAAGGGTTAGCTCTTAGCTCTTGCCCTAACTGCTGCTTAGTACACAGTTTTATCATATCTGTAAATCTTTTATTTTGCATTCAACTGCTTTATAGCTTACAAAATACTTTTGCCAAGGAATATTTGGATACCCATTCTCACTGATTCAACCTCAACACTTTTCCCTACCAAAACATTCCCAGCCTATTCAGGATGATCCAAATCCAAGCTAAATTAATCAGTATATAGCTGCAGAATTTAAAATGAAGTTTAAAAGACCTTCTTTGTTTATATTTTATACAATAAATGAAAGAAAGACTCCCAACAATATTGGAAAATCTCATTTGCTTGTAGTTTTCGAGAGAAGACAAAGTTCTAATCTCAATCTAGCTGATCAGCTCATGTTTTCTGTACATGTAAGCTACTCAGACACCCTTTCTAAAGCTATATACCCCTTATCTTCAGCTCAGTCAGGGTATTTGTTTATGTTAAGGTGTGTACTGCCTTTATTATATCATATTAAATTCCTAATAAATTCCATTTTATACAACCCATTTACAATTTTTTTACCTACTTATATAAACAAAATTCTACCTTTATTTTCATTCAATTACATGAAATAAGGTATATTTAGATATACACAACTCTATAAATAATGTTCTTAATTAATTCAGAGACTGTTGCTGCTACCAGAGAACTGCTGAAGTTATTTTATTTTATAGAGATAAAAATAATTTCTATTTTCTGCTCTAAATCTCAAGTATGAAAGGATATGACAAGGAAGACAGTCACTGGAAGAAAATAATCAATATAACTGTTTCCTCTTAAAATAAAACTTTACTTTTTCATGGTCTTTAACATTCAGCTTTTATTAATACAAACACTTCAGATAGGTTAAAAGGAATTTTTTGTTTAACTTGAAAAGTCTGTCAGAATAACTTTGCAGATGTTTTTAGACCAATAAAAATAAAACTTGACCTAAATTTACAGATCTTTTCATTGTAAAAACGGATCATCATTTAAAATTAAATTATTGTTTTTTAAACTTTGCTTCCACTTACTGCTTCTAGTTGTTTCTTCTTCTGCACTAGTAACTCCAACATGAGATTGACATTAGCCAAATCAAGGTTATCTTGATCAGTTCCCAGCAAATCTTGAAATATTTGCCATCTGTGACCATTCTAAAAATGAAAAGAAGAAACACAATAGTTTCTTGACAAGATTACTTTAGAGACCCTAAAACAAATGTTTACCTGCTATTTCCTCTATTCTATTACACAGATACCAAAAATATACTAAAATAATGTTCCAACCTACTCCTTCTAACTAGTGGCTTACCACTGCCTTTTAGTTATAATTTAATAACTTTTCGCCCTTAAATAAATTTTGATAACACATTAAAGACAAATGTTAAACCAGAATCTCTGAAAGTGTAATTTCTTTTCAAAATAAGTAACACAATTTAAATTATTTGTCTACCAATATTATCAAACTTTGTACTTGGTAAGGTGTTAGTTTAAGCTCACTTGACTTCAGTAATTTGGGGCTAATCCTTTGAACTGAGAATCTTTTCAACAGTTTTTTCAAGTATCTGCCCATTATTTCCACTTTGCCATATACTCCTTCAAATGACACATATTACAAGCCAACTCTGCCTCAGTGTGATCCCATCAGAACTTTCAAAACTCTAGCCAAGTATTAATTAGTCAAGAAAGTTATTTAAATAGAACAATCTTACACGATTTTATTTAATAAAAATCAGTTATATACTAAATTTTAACATCTATTAATATTAAATAAAAACAATAAAATGGAATTTATTAAAAATAGTAATAAGAGTTGAAACATACGGTGCTACTCACTGAGTGGTCCAATTTGAACCTCTTTTCCTCAAATCTTTGCTTCTGTTTGAGAATGAGTTCATTCACTAGAAACAAACAAAATATTCACATAATTTGTACTTTTGGGGGGGGTACATCTTCTAATAGTTCTGTTTTGATGGTTTGAATATGAGGTATCCCCCAAAAGCTCTTGGGTTAATGTAGGAATATTCAGGGGTGAAATGAATGGATAGAGAGGTCTAACCTAACAGTTTATCCTAGTTTAAATGGATTAACTGGGTGGTAATTATAGGCAGGTTGGGCAAGGCTGAAAAGAGGTGGGTCACTGGAAACCTGCCCTGGAAGGGTGCATCTTCGCTATGGCCACTTCACCCCTTCCCTCTCTCTCTGCTTCCTGGCCAGCCATGAATGGTGCAGTGCTTCTCCACCACACTATTCCATCATAATTCCCTTACCTTGGGCCCAGAGCAATGAACATGAACTAAATCTCTGAAATCATGAGCCAAAATAAACATTCCCTCCTATAAGTTGTTCTTGTCAGGTATTTTGGTCAGAGCAACAGAAAAGCTGACTAACACAGATGGATTCTACTTTAACTTTACAAAGTTCAAACTTAAAAACATGCTAAAAAGAAAGTGTTATTATCTTTTCGTTTTATTTCAAAGTACAATCTTCCCACACCTATTACCATTATAACTTTTATTAAAACAGAAAAAAATTCTTCAGAATATGAAATTTCTCATTAATGACACTTGTGAAAAGAGAATTCAACACTGTGTGTCTCATGTTACACATGTGAATGGAATGGGTATCTGAGTATTTACAAGAAGATATAAACACTAAAAGGTTTTGTTTTTGTTGTAAAATTTCAAAAAAATACCACAGAAGACACTGTCATTTACCTATCCCAAATGCATCTTATCCTTTTTCTTGGTAAAAAGATTATTTTCTAAATGGCAAACTGTAACATAACTTTCAGAAAGCCTAGATCCCTCTCCAAGCCCACAGGATGGTTCTTTTTTTTTTTCAATATTTTTCATTTTAGTTATAGTTGAACACAATACCTTTATTTTATTTTTATGTGGTGCTGAGGATCGAACCCAGGGCCTTGTGTGTGCTACAAGAGCACTCTACCGCTAAGCCACAATTCCAGCCCCACAGTATGGTTCTTGACTAAGAAAGGCCAATCTAGACATTCATATCCTCCCAACAATGATGTGGTCATTGTTTTAACCAATGAGAGGTACGCTGCCTTTCAAAGAGAGGACAGAAAAAAACGAACAAACAAACAAATTTCTCCCCTGCCTTCATAAGGGGAAGATACATGAAAATGCTTTGAGCCATTTTTCAAACTTGAGGGTGCCTAGCCAAAGGCCCAAGGCACATGCTGGGAATGGAAGAACGAATGTATCAACACATTACTGGATTAACAAGTTCTAGAAATTCTTTGCCCATCAATCAATACATTTTCCATAATGTTTAAGTCACTTTTACTTACATTTTTTTTCTGAGTGTTTTTTTTTTGTCAACACATACTAATACAAAAAAAAAAAAGATTAACAGGAAACTAGCACTATCATGTCATGTACCTCACTTTATAGACATTATCTTACACATTATTCTATTTAGAAATGAGGGAATATGAGGACAGAAAGAATAAAGCACTCACAGTGACAATATAAAATCAGAGTTGGGACCCAAGCTCAACCATCTAATAATTTCCACTGTGCCACAATGCAGATATAAATATTTTTTTAAAAAATATCAAAACCATATTAGAAGATAAATAAAACAATCCAAGATATCAAGGAACTCAAAATAGTAAGACAGATATGATGCAGTAGTTGCAACATAATGTGATAATCAATACTATCACTGAAAATAGATTTACAAAGTACACAAATTGTATCAATCAATGTTAATAAGCAGGATTCACAAAAAGGTGAAAGAGTTGGGCCACATAAAGACAGAGAAATTCACAAAGCAGAAAAAGAATGGGAAAAGAAATTTTAAAAGCATGTGTATGAGAAAGACACAGAAAAGCAAAGTCAGCTAGAAATGAGTTAAAATAGATATAGTTGAAACTTGGAGTCTGTAATAGTTGATTTAAATTGTCAACTTGATTGAATTAAGAGATGCCAAGGATTAAGAGGCTGATGGATATGTCAGTGAGGGTGTGTCTAGGAATGACTGGCATGTGGCATAGCCAACTGATATGGAGACCCTCCCTAAGCTTGGGCAGCAGCTTCCAATAGGATGATGGCTTAGATGGAATAAAAGTTGGAAGAACAGGAAGCAGCAGCAGATGCCAGCTCAATGCCTCTTGAACAGGTTCTTATTTGCTGCTGCAGTCCTCTGAGGATATCGAACTATTGCTTCTTCACTCTTGCAGAGAGGACTTTCACAGTGACCCTCAGGAAGCTTTCAGTCTCAAGACTTGAGTAGCACCACTGATCCCTCTTGTTCTGGGGCTTCAGCCTCTTGGACTGTACAGCTACGGGTTCTTCTAGCTCTCCAGCCTACAGGCAGCCACTGCAGACTATTCAGCTTCTGGTAACAAAAGCCAACCTAAAGAGTCCCCTTTTTATAATTATACTTCCTGTAGATTCTGTTCTTCTAGAGAACCCTAATACAGACAGTGATTATATGAAGGATTAATAAAAGTTAGGAATTAAGAGTAGAAATGTGAGCATATATAAGTCTGACTCTAAAGAGCCTGAAATGTATGTACTTCCCAAAATTGTCATTATAATATAGAAAAGACAAAAACAGAGAACTTGAAATAAGGGAAGGGAATAAACAGGAATAAGTAAACAAGAGTGTAATGTTTGAATTACAGATATAAACAGTTAAAAAATTATGGTTTTTAAAGAACTAACATTTTCTATGTCATTACATTTTAATAAGAAATTTCATAAAGCACTGAATTTGATTATAACACTTATAAGAGTTTTTAAAGGCCAAAAAAATTTTTAAATGGTTCTAGCAGATAAAAGCTAAAAAGAAAACATAATGGATAAAAATTTTATATTTACCAAAACTAAAATTTCTATTACTAGAACACACTTTTCATGTAGCTACATAAAAATAAATAAATAAATAAATCGTATTTTCTTCTTTAAAAACCATTCCTGGGGCAGAAGTTGTAGCTCATGGTACAGCGCTCACCTAGCATGTGTAATATATAAATAAATAATGGTATTGTGTCCACTTACAACTAAAAAAAATATTTTAAAAAAATCCTATAATGACCAGAAATAATTCCTGGGTAATAAACTTAAAAAAAAAAAAATTTAGTACATTTTACTGAAATTACTTCACCATGAAAAATTTTTTAATTTTTGTACTTTAAAATGAACAAAAGCCAGACCTGGGGGCACACACCTACAATCCCATTGACCACAAATTCAAGGTCAGCCTCAGTAAATAAATAAATAGGACTGGGAATGTAGCCCAGTGGTAGAGAACCCCCAGGTTCAATTCCTAGTATCATAAGTAAGTAAATACAGAAATATTTTTTAAAATACAATTTAAAAAAAAAAAAAACTTTCTTAAAATCCAAGATATATATGATAGGCTAAGCATGCAAATTTTAAAATGTCAGCCACACATTGAAAGGGAAAATCATTTGGAAACTGTGCGATAACTGACAAACAAGAATAGCAACACAATAAATTCCATTCTATAACTCTGGAATTTTATTTTTTAAAAAAATCAATGTTTCTTGTCTGGGGAAAAGTGGGAAAAAAGCCCAGCTAGTTTCTTTAATCTACAAATTAAAGCATTTAATGAATCAACCTTTAACATATTCAACAATGTACAGTGGTTGGCACATAGTAGGCACCCACTGTTTGTTGAGTGAATAAATTAAACCTTACTAACATAACCTTTTCACATGTCTCTTTTAACACTTTTATATTTCTAAATCAAAATGGGGATTTACTTGAAACCTCGTTTCAAAACTTAGTTCACAAAATTGAGATCTAAACTTGCACTACTGTCTATACACTTGTTAATTTTAACTTTATGGAGCCCTAGAATATCCATGGTAGGAGAAAAATGCATATTTACTGCTAAAGCTTCCACTCCAGCAACTGTCTTTTCAGAGGCCAAGACAGTAAAGGAAAAAAAAAATTGACTCTTGAACCAGACTGCTTAGGGCCAAATACCAATTCCACAACCTACTACCCATAAAAGTTTACCCATGTTACCCATTATCTCTGCCTTCTCAGTTTGCTTACTTAAGGAATGAAGATGGTAACAGCAGTACCTATTTCAAAAGACTGTAACAGAAATTAAATGAATTTAAGTCCACAGCACTTAGGATAGTGCCTGATAGTAGTAAGGAAACAGGTTCCATCTACTTTGTTTCTAAACATGGATCTTAAACTTTGAATGCATGGTGTCTTCTACATCAATGAGTAAGAGGACCATTCATTAGTAAAGTAATAAAACTTAATTTACAAATTCTATATAAAAAGACAGAGAAAGGTAGAGAAAGAGACAGTGAGAGACAGAGAAGATAGAAAGACAACCAAATGTATGCGTGTACACACACACACACACACACACACACACACACACACACTCACGGTGGGGGAGGTAGGGAGCAGCTGCAGAATAAGTCTTAGAAGAGAAGATGACTGAAAGAGTATATTAAGGTAAGGACAACTGAGCATAAGTTGAAAGTGTTGTAGCATATTGTGTCAGAATTTCCTTCCTTTTTAAAGCTGAATAATATTGCATTGTATGTTTATTCTATATTTCATTTATTCATTCACCCTGCACCCCTCATAGACAATGTGTATGCTTCCACCTCTTGGCTCTTGGGAATAACACTGCTGGGAACATGGGTATACAAATATCTCTTCTGGCCCCTGCTTTCAATTTTTTGGGGTATCCACTCAAAAATAGAATTGCTGAAGCACGTGGAAATTTTGTTTGTTTTTAAATTTCTGAGGAACCACCATACTGTTTTCCAGGGGATACAATATTTTATGTCCTTGCCTGCAGTACACAAGGGTCCCGATTTCTTCCACATCCTTGTCAATGCCTGTTTGTCTTTCTTTCCTTTTCTATTTCCTTTCCTTTCTTTCTTTTTTTGATAGTAACCATCTAAATGAGTATGCAATCTGTATTTTTTAAATTTTTGCTGATTGATTACAAAGGATACAAATGAAGAACTATATGCATCAATATATAGAGTATGAGATAGGTGGGGAAAAGGCAGGAAGCTTTTAGGCATGCTACCCTCCCAGCACCTCCAAATGTTCAGCAACTCACAACTCTCTGAACCCTGGTTTTTACATGGGCTTCACTAAGTTGCCATATTTAATCAAATAATTGGCCATTGGTGATCATCTCAACCTTCAGCATTATTTCCTCCCTAGGGATGGAGGGGGCTAAAGGTTCCAGCCTTATAACTCCATGGCTGTTTTCCCTGAAAACCAGTGATTCAGAGTCTATCCTGGAGCCGCCAGACATTGTCATCTCATTGTACTTCTTTATTCTTTCATTAGAGGTGGCCCATCCTACTTATGATCAGTCACCTTCATGAATAATTTACCTATTTCCTTGGCATATTAATTTAGCATTAGTCTTTTCTGTTGTGTTCTAATAGTTTTTACATTCTTATTCATATTGAGGATAGGCCCAAAACTTCACATTGAAGTTGAATATGATATGTAGCAGGCTGAGGTACTTCAGTTATGTATAGTATTGAGTGTTAATGCCCCAACCTGAACAACACTTAGGAGAAAAAAGAGAGGTCTCAGGACCCAAGGAGATAGATAGGAGCAGAGAGGAGCATAAAGACTGTGTCCTGGAGGGAAGAAGAGACAGACAAGAGAATGAAAATAGAAGGTGGAGATTTTCTGGCTGATCGGAATACACAAGTAGTCACAACACCTAACTCTGAGTGTAATACTCTTTAGAATGAAGTCAACCTTTTAAGATACATATCAATATTTGATATGCCTACTTTAATCTGACAATTTATCTGGCTTCCTATTCAAATACTCAAACTAAAGGTATCTCACAATATCTTAGGCAATCTGACATGAAGAGGTTTTTTTTTTTTTCATTGTTCCCATCAGCTTCTAATTATATACTATTTCTAAGCATTTACTATTTACTCTTATGGATGCATGTCTCTGCAGATTTTTAATTAGTACATTATGTATAACAGTATAATTCATTATGCCATATTCATACATGGTCATGATATAATTCGATTTTCCTCTCCAGTTTTTACCACTTCTGTGTAAAAATACTGTGTCTTCTTTCCCTAGCTCTGACTTTTCAACTGCCTTCCCAGTTCACACATTCTCTTCCCTTATTTAGAAATTCTCATATACAACTTCTCCCCTTTTCCACAATATTCACCAAACATGGGTTTCCCTTCTTTGTGAACCACTTCCTGTTACTTCTCACTGCTAATCCAGCAGGAGAAGCAGAGGAATGTGTAATATTGCATAGAGAGACATAAAGTTGTTCCGGACCTTTAGCATTCTCCTTAAGCCTCACATCCTCTCCAGCCATCTACAAAAGATTGTAAAGGCAGCATTAATTTTTTTTTTTTCTTCTTTTTTTGGTACCAGGTATTGAACTCAAAGGCACTGAACTACTGAACCATGTCCCCAGCCGTTTTTTTTTTTAATTTTATTTAGAGACAGGGTCTGAGATGCTTAGGGTCTCAATAAATTGCTGAGGGTAGCTTTGAACTCAACAATCCTCCTATCTCAGAATCCAAACCTGCTGGGATTACAGGCATGTGCCACCGTACCTGGCTCATTTTTTCTTTTTCTTTTTGAAACTTAAATGTGATATTTACTAACAACATATTGAAGCTATGCCAAAAAAGAAGAAAGTACCTTGGTGGGTGGTAGAGAGAAACTTGCTTACCTCTGAGCTAGGTTTTCTGAACAAATTAGTGCCAGCACATACTTTTGGGAAAACAAATCATCCTTTTATAAAGTAAAAATAATTCCAAAGACTCACCCAAGAAATTAGGATAGAGATGGTCAATATTGTCCACAACATAGTTACACTTGGGACATCTATTATTGTCCTCCAAACTCTGATGAATACACTTGTAGCTATTAGCAGGGAAAAAATAAAACAAGCTTAATTAAATCCACTTAAAAACTGAAAAAATTAAAACTGGTCACAAAATGACAGTCTTATATTTCTAAATCAACATAAATAATCTTAACAATTCATTTCAGCTTTTATTTTTACTTCATGAATAAGATATACAGAGCATCTACTGCATGAATAATATACAAGTTATGTGAAAATAAACTCAAATTGCAAGTTTATTATATGTTAACTTTTAAAGGTACTAAATTTTAAGTTTATAAAATTTACATTGTATAAAATAATATTAGAAAATCAAATGTCTATAGTGTAGTTTAAGCAAGCAAAGCTTACATTTTAGTTACTGGAGTGCTTATATCCTTAATATACTAAGAGTGCATTCAAATAAAAATGAAAAGAAAAAAAAATACAAAAAGTCACATGAAAAAACCATTACCTTCACTAGTAACAACAACAAAATCCAAATCTATATATTACCTTTTAGTAGAGAGAAACACAAAGAAAATTCTGTCATACAGAAGGAGACACAGAGATATGATCATTTTATGTATTTTTGCAGGAAATGTAACCAGCATAACTTTACTAGAGAGAAAGTTACAGGAAAACTGGTAAGGTATTGCATCCCTTTTAGCATAGGGATTTTACTTTTAAGAATTTATTTTATGAATCAGGCATTATTAGTCTGTGTGCATATATGATTACACTATTGGTGTAATTCTACATCATGTACAACCAGAAAAATGAGAAGTTATACTCCATTTATAAAATATGTGTCAAAAATGCATTCTACCACCATGTATAACTATTAGAACAATTTTTTTAAAAAAAGAATTTATTCTAAGAAAATATATAGGTAGAAAGGTGTTCAATGAAGGGCTATCTGTAAAGACTCAACTAAAATTAAAGCAATCAAAACACTAGGAAGTCAACTAAATGAAATTTGTAAATTTCAATTCAATGAATTCTATATACTGACAATAAAAATCATTTTTCAATATATGATATAAAAATAACCTATTAGTAGTTATTTCTGGAAAAAATGTGATTACAGAAAATTTCCTCTTTCTTATATCAAATTCCTGTCTAAATACTGTTCAAACAAATTACAGAAAAATATCAAACTTACATAAGGAAAAAAAAAAAAAAATCACCCTACCAATATACCACTGCACTAAAGTAATGACCTATGAACCTATGATACAGTGTCTACAATATCATCTGACATTTGTTTAAACAATTTTTATATATGTACATTTTAAATAAATTGAAAAAGACATTCACCACAATGTCAAAAAAGTATTTGCCAATGAAAAAGAGTATTTGTGAGTTATATAATTATAAAAAATGTTTTTTATAGATATCCTTTAGTTTCTAACAGAAATATACAATATTTTTATCAAAAAAATGACTTAAGATTAACTACAAAGGTAAGGGTTGGAGTTGTGGCTCAGTGATAGAGTGCTTGCCTCGCACGTGCAAGACCTTGGGTTCAATCCTCAGCACCACATATAAATAAACAGATAGATAGATAATATAAAGGTATTGTGTCCAACTACAACTAAAAAATAAATATTAAAAAAAAGAAATTACAAAGGTGATTTATAAAGATCATTCCTAAAGTACCTTTTTTGTTCTGTATCCTAATTATTATAAATTTACCTCAGCTTTATAAACTGAAGATGACTATTCTATCAACCTACCCTACTCTACTTTTCAACAAACAAAAACACCCTACATCCATCAGTTTCTACCGTTTTGGTTATCAACTATTTCTCATTTCACATTCATTACTGTCAAATAAAAAAAAAAGAAAGATACAAAAAAAATCAAAGTAACGTTAGTCTTGGCATAGCACAAGAGCCTAAAATTTGGACTAAATACTTGGCACATAATAAAAACTCAAAAACCTATTAAACAAATAACTTGCACAGTATTCCAGAAACATCATTACCTATTGCAACTATGACAAGGGTAGGATTACCATATTTTACAAGATATGCCTATATCTGACAAAAAATTTCCTATATGGAAAATTCAGTGAAGCCAAAAAAAAATACTAAATGTTTGTTTTCATTTTAATTATGAGAGAAGCATTATATAGATGTACAAACATTTCTCCCAACATGGAGAAATATATAGCCTGCTTACCAGATAATGGGAATGCGTTAACATTACAGGAAATACTCACATATGACAAGACTTTTAATTCAAATAAAGAAAATCATAAAGAAGAGAATCTAGAAAGTTTATTAAACATGAGAGGGTGACAGAGAAACAAAAGAACCTTTGGGGTGATAGCAAATGGCTTCCGTTAAAAAATAGGTCAAAAATGGTCACTAATATGACAAAAAGTTAAGGGCTGAGGGTATAGTTCAATGGTGGCTATGAATGTACAAGGCCCTGGGTTCAATCTCTAGCACTACAAAAGAAAGGTAAGTAAAATCTGTAAAAGTCAAGAGTTTTTCTTCATTATATAAAAAACTGTTCTAGGATCTAGAAAAGTACATCCTCTTTTCTTTGGCACACTAATCATACTTCTTATCAATTGGTTTACTACCAAATAATGCCTCTTGGAAGAAAAAGTAATCTATATATAGTCAAAAAGAATTGTCATCAGGGGCTGGGATTGTGGCTCAGCAGTAGAGTGCTGGCCTAGTACATACGAGGCCCTGAGTTCGATCTTCAGCACCACATAAAAATAAATAAAAAAACACATTTAAAAAATAATAATTGTTATCAGAACAAAAGTCCAGATGACTTTTCTGCACTGGACTTTATATATACTATTTATCTATAAAATTTAAATGCATCAAAATACTAACAATATGATGCATCTTATAGCATCTACTATCTCACTGCCAGTCCAGAGTAGGTCCTGCTATAGTTTAAAGAACAGTAACATCATATCTTGAACTTATCTCTGTATGTAATGGTCAACCCCTCTTCCATTTCCCAATTAAAAGAAAGGATTGGTTTCACTCGTCTCTTACCCTTAAAATCTAGCATACAGTCCTGTTAAGAATTCAAATCAATAAATGCCAAACCCACAAAGGAACAGATATAACAAGTTACACGTTCTGCTCCTTTCTATATTATAACAGTACTAGAATTTTTCATTATTTCTCATTCATTCTCATTCATCTATCCTACCTGACTATCACTGGTCCACATTCAAAACTCCAAGATGCCAAAAGAAAGATAAATGACTAGACTGGTAGTCAAAACAGTTGGGCAAAATGATAAACAGGATGTATACTTTGGGTACATTCAGAATTTTCAAGCTATTCACAACTGACATAAATGGATACCTTTTTTCTCAATAAAATATATGATAAAAATGGACATTTCTCTAAATATGCATATCAGTATCTGTTTCTTCCATTATGCATATAACAATCTACAAAATATGGAAACATTTTTCTGTCTTTGTGAACAAGGATGAGTAGATACAGAAAACTGAGTAATTAGAAAATTTTAGGTAAAAAATAGATTTAAAAAAAAAAACAGTACTAACCAGATATACAAGAAGACTAACAGCATGGTATAAGATGAGGAACTAGCCTAGGAACACAAAAGATATCCTGACACCCAGGCATCAATCTATGTAGATTTTATTTCCAGCCTGAGATTTTCTTTTAAGATATTGGAGATTGAACCCAGGGGCACTTAACCACTGAGCCATATCCTAAGTCCTTGTTTATTTACAGACAGGGTCTCACTGAGTTGCTTAGGCCCTTGCTAAATTGCTGAGGCTGGCTTTGAACTCATGATCCTTCTACTCAGTCTACCAAACTGCTGGGATTAAGGCCTGTGCCACCGTGCCTAGCTTAATCTAGAAAAATAGTAAATTAGGACATGAGGTCTGAGAAATAAGATACAGGGAACTATCTGTTGGCAGCAAAGGGGTAAAGAGAAAAACCTCAGTTTTATCTTTACATTATGCAGAAGCATACGATTAAATCACTGAGTTTCAGTAAGGTTATATAGCTTAATAACAGGATCACAAGAGATTAAGACGAGTTCTCAAGTGGGAATAAATAAAGTGAAAGACGTGTCTGCCATCTCATTTCCAACCTGCAAACAGGAAGACTTACTTATATGTAAGATGAAATATGAACAAGTTGACATGGTCCAATTTGATGTAATGCTAATAATCTGGATGCAGCTTTGAGTGGTATATCACTTGGCTCTAACTTACCAGCAACAATGCACAGAAGAGAGGCTATGTTTTATGACTGAAGTTTCAGGGGCCTCACAATTAGATAAATAATTATGAACTTCTGCTTTAAACAAAACTGAAAAGAATTTTCACAGTATACCAAGACTCACACCGGGACTGCCAGACTCCACTCCTATTAGCTCCTGCTAATGTGATGGTCTCTGTTTTACCAAAACCAAAATGCACTGACGTCAGGATATAATACAACTTCAAATGTAACAAGGATCTAAGCCTAAATCGTTCTAATTTGAAAGAGAAAAAAAAAAAAAAACTATGAAAACAATGGGGTTTCCAACAATGACCTGAAGATACCAGGAAAATTATAGGATTAATTGAAAAGACCAGGATTTCCAATTATAAGCTCAATCAGTAATTTATTATCCTTCTCAACATAGAAAATTAATGAACTGATCCAGAGCCCTTGTAAATACCATCATAAATGTGTAAGTTAAAGGACAATTTAAAAAACTAAAAACCACATTTTACAATGTTTACTACTTCAAGAATTTTAAGCCTGTGAAGAGAGAAGTGGTGAAGGAGTAGGGAGGGAAAAGGAAAAAGAGGGAGGAGAAAGAGGGAAGAAGTAAAGGAGGGAGAAGGAGAAAGAAAAGGCAGCAGAGGAGATAGGCTAAGTGACTTGACATAGTAGTAAGTTTTAGATCCAGAAGTAGTACCCTGGTCTATGACCAAAAGAGATTGCTCTGCATCAATAATATTTCTCAACTGTGGGCAACTCTGTTTCCTAAGGGATGACTGGCAATGTCTGAGACATTTTTGGTTATCACATGGGGGTGGGGTTTATTACAGAAGAGAGACCAACAGTACTGTTGAACTATCTTCAATATACAGGAGAGTTTCTCACAACAGAAAATCTCTGCTGTACTATACAGAAATAGTGCCAAGGTGGGAAAAGTCTACTCCAGAACATTCGATTTTCCATTATAATCAAAATCCAAATTCTGAGAAGTATTTGGAATACTGAGGTGCTGAATCAATTTATAAACTCAGAAATTTACAACTGTTAAATAATCAGCCTAAAAACACCAAATCCATACAGGTATTGGCCTAAAAGGAAGATTCAGATGACCAGAAATTCATTAGCAAATTCAGAGCAAGAAGTAATTCATGAATCAATAATGACAGCATAATAATATACTAACAGATAAAAATTGTTGAAGACGGCAACATAGTCTTAAATGGCAAAAGATTCTGGAAAGCTACACATTCCCTGCTTGCCAGTGATAACTTCTTAGAATAAAAAAAAAAGAAAGATTAGGAAGAAAGAAATTCACATTTCATATTATATCTTTCAGTTACAATAAATTTTGCATTTCTAAGCCAAGAATTATTAATTGCTCTAATCTTATTTTAATAAACAATATAAACAATGCAAATAAAGAAAGCTACTTTCATTCCAAGTGTTTTAAGGGACCATCTGACTGGAAATATCAGTCAATGAATCAACACGTACCAGACAAAACTAAAGAACTTACAGATTGGTGCTAACACACCCAACATTCTTCATAACCATAGTATATCATGCTACATATCATATTCATCCTCAATATGAATGAGAATGTAAGAATTGTTAGAACACAACAGAAAAGATTAATGCTAAATTAATATACCAAGGAAATAGGTAAATTATTCATGAAGGTGATTGATCATAAATAGGATGGGCCACCTCTAATGAAAGAATAAAGAAGTACAATGAGATGACAATGTCTGGGGACTCCAGGATAGACTCTGGATCACTGGTTTTCAGGGAAACCAGCCACGGAGTTATAAGGCTGGAACATTTAGCACCCTCCATCCCTAGGAAGGGGAGAATGCTGAAGGATGAGATGATCACCAATGGCCAATTATTTAATTAAATATGACAACTTAGTGAAGCTCATGTAAAAACCCAAAGGACAGGGTTCAGACAACTGTGTGTTGCTGAACATATGGAGGTGTTGGAAGGGTAGCATGCCTAAAAGTTCCCTGCCTTTTTCCCCACCTATCTCATACTCTATATATTGATGCATATGGTTCTTCATTTGTATCCTTTGTAATCAATCAGCAAAATTTTAAAAAATACAGATTGCATACTCATTTAGATGGTTGCATACTCATTTAGATGGTTACTATCAAAAAATGAAAGAAAAGGAAATAGAAAAGGAAAGAAAGATAAACAAGCATTGACAAGGATGTGGAAGAAATCTGGACCCTTGTGTACTGCAGGTGAGAATATAAAATGGTGTAACACCTGGAATACAGTATGGTGGTTCCTCAAAACTTACACTACTAAAGTATACATATTAAACCGCCTACAACTGTGAATTCTATTTTATGTCTCAATTTTAAAACTTCGTTTTTTAAAAAAAAATATACACACTAATAAATAAAGGTCTGTCAACAACTAAAAATATATTTTAAAAAAAAATTGAAAGCAGAGGCCAGAAGAGATATTTGTATATCTATGTTCCCAGCAGAATTATTCACAAGGGTCCAAAGGCGGAAGCATACACATTCACATTGTCTACGGG